TTATAACAAACCTTGTTACAAATTTTGACAGTTTCAATAAGTAAACTATGCGCTAGTTCAGTGTGATGTCATTTTGGTTTCATTGACATTTAATTCTAACCAAACTTTTAACAAAAACATCAATAGATTTGACATATACTTTTTTACTGTTTTTAGTTTATTTCTAAATATTGTTTACATGACATAAAAAATAGTTTAAAGGTATGTAATTGGTAACTAAACGATTGTATATTTGATACATGCGATCTACTTACTTTAGGAATATATAAAAGTGAAAAAACGATATAATTTAGGTAAACAAAACGAACAAAACGCACTCAAAAAATCTACTGCCACTTTAATTGTCAGTGGAACCATAATTACACATCATCACTGAACTAGCGCATTTGGGTTGTTTTTATTAAAAACAATTGTGAAAACATTCGTTCAGCTGACGCCGAGGAATGCGGTAAAGAAAAAACAATTATTAAATTTGGAAACTGAAAATCGTTATCGCCATCTTTTTGGCATAACAGAAGGAGACCAAAAGGTCTCGTAAGTCATCTAAATGTGTTTCCATTTCTTTTAAGTCAGGGATGCTTCTCCATTCTTAATTAAGTTCTTCAATATTGACTTTGTCTTTTAAAACAGGAAAGCAATTAAGAAGTTTAGTCAAGCTAGGAATGTTGCCAGAGTACGCAATTTTTGGCTCTAAAACGTTTAGATTTTCTAATAATGCGTTTTCAAAAGAAAAACGATTTTTAATTTGAGTACACAGCTCTGTATAAAATGCCAAGCATTTATGTTTAAAACTTTGTATATCATTTTCTGTTAAAATATCTTTATTTTTTTCTATATATTTTTCAACGTATGTCCCAAAATACATAGACGAAGGGTCTAGCTGAATTTTTTTGTTTTTCGGGTCAATGTCATTTAAAGGAGCACAATCAACTACACTTATTTTTATAAAGCATCGTAAAAGTACCTTATAAAGATTACAGATGCTCTGAAAGAGAGTCGTTATCTTTGATTTTTCTTACTGAAAAATTAGGTTAATTTTATTAATCAAATCTAAAACAAAATTTAAAAAGTAAAAGTATAATTTGTACATTCTACTGTTTAGTGAATTTAAAAGAGTTTCGCAAGACTGTAACTTGTCTACTAATACATCACCTTGAAAATATAATTTTAATGGCGCCCAATTGTCCAGAATTTTTTAGCCACGATTCCAAGAGAAAGCCAACGAGTTTGACTTGGACGTAACATTTTGTTTGGTTTGATTTGCAAAAAAGATTGAAACTGTTCTAACTCTTTGAATCTCTTTGGGCTGTTACTAAAATAATTGTTAATTTCTCTGGCAAAGTGCTCTATTGATTTGGGTAGCTGAGGCACAGATGTGAAAAGAGTGGCAAGTATAACCAAGGACAAATAAGTGTGGAACTAGTTCTTTTAAACGATCTTGTACGCCACTTATATTTTGCGCCAACGTTCTTTTGCGAAGAAAATAACAGAAATTAGGTTTCTTGGAAGTATAAAGGTAAATTGACCTAATATGTAAATGTAGTAGATTGTAGTAGAAATATTAAAAATGTAGCAGATACTAAAAAAGTGTAGTAACGTACTAGAACCATTAAATTGTAGTAAATCTACTACAATTGTAGTGACTCTGGCAACACTGCGTTTCTGTCTTAAAAATAACAAACGTTGCCAAGTTGTTAATAAAATTATAAGTTTAAGGATTATTTAAATTTATAATCATAAATTTTTCGTTTGGTTTAAAAAGATAAGTACGGTAATAATCGTATATAAAATGCAAAAATTAATATATCAACCAAATTAATTTTAAAAATGCAGCTCAAAAATACTACATACAAAATTAAAAAGTGAAATTAATTAAATCACTCAACATGTAATACATAGACAACTTTTTTTAAATTTTCTTTCACTCAAAACGAAACAGTGACTTCCGGTAGAGTGACGGCTTCGCCGCCACCAAAAAATTTTAATCCATACCTGGCTACGCCTACCGGCATAGATTCCAACGGCCTGGACACAGCTCAAATTGAAATGAAAAGTCTCACATAACACATTATAATCCAAAATCATACATTTTTCGTTTGCTTCAAAAATATAAGTACGGTAATAATCGTATATCAAATGAAAAAATCTGATGTGTCCAACACATGACTTTCCTATCTAGTTATTATAGGCTTTTTCCGGTTATTTTGTACAACCTATTGCAGCATCTCTATAAATGTTAAGAGGATAAACTAAATATATACATTGTCCACATACATCTACCTCGAAACATTTTTCTATAGATATTCATGGAAAACGAAAATACTGAAAAATTTAAATTTCCTACAATTTTTTCATTACGGTCCATTTTATAAAAATCATGTATAAACAAAAATTATAGAGATCGATATCGCAAACAACTTTTATTTCAAAAACTTTCATAAAAATCAGAATTTTGCACATTTTGTCAAATTTCTCGAATACGGACCATTTCAGGAAATTTTTACATTTAACAAAAATTATAGATAATAATATTAGAAGTAACTTTTATTTGAACAATTTTTTTCTCCAAACATTAATAACAGATATATTCCATAAAATATAAAAGTGGCCTCCCATAAAGTACCCCCCCAGATGTTCCGACTATGTCCAAAATCTAATCATTTCACGTCAGGCCGAAATAAACCTTAAGTTTAAAATTTAATGTTTTTTTCTTTATCCGTTTTTGAGTTTTCTTCAAAATTCGAAATTTACACATTTTCTCAAATATCTTGAATACGGTCCATTTTAGAGAAATTATGTATAGAATAAAAATTAAAGAGAATTATATTACACACAACTTTTATTTGAACAATTTTTATAAAAAATATTTTTTTTTACATTTTGTCAAATTTCTCGAATACGGACCATTTTAGGAAAATTTTGCATAGAACAAAAATTATAGATAATTATATTAGAAGTAACTTTTATTTGAAGAATTTTCTTCTCCAAACGTAAATAACAGATATATTCCATAAAATATAAAAATGACCCCCTATAAAGTACCCCCCCAGATGTTCCGACTCTGCCCAAAATCTAATCAGCTCATTGGACGTTGAAACAAAGCTTAAGTTTAAAATTTGGTGTTTTTCTGTGAATCGGTTCATGAGTTATGCGTTATACAGACACACACACACACACAGACACACCCACACACACACACACACACACAGACATCATCGCGAAAATAGTCAAAACAGATTCAGGGGACCTCAAAACGTAAAAATCCGTCGAAAACTCGAGGTCGAAAAAAATCATGATTCCTATACTTTCCTTATATCTGTATACAGATAGGAAAGTAAAAAATAATATATCAACCGAATTAATTTTAAGAATGCAGCTCAAAAAAACTACATACAAAATTAAAAAGTGAAATTAATTAAATCACTTAACATATAATGCCTAGACAACTTTTTTAAATTTTCTTTTACTCAAAACGACTTCCCGTAGGGTGGCGGCTTCGCCGCCACCAAAAAATTTTAACCCATACCTGGCTACGCCTACCGGCATAGACTCCAACGGCCTGGACACAGCTCAAATTGAAATGAAAAGTCTCACATAACACATTATAATCAAAAATCATACATTTTTCGTTTGCTTCAAAAAGATAAGCACGGTAATAATCGTATCTAAAATGAAAAAATTAATATATCAACCAAATTAATTTTAAAACTGCAGATCAAAAAAAACTACATACAAAATTAAAATTAATTAAATCACTTAACATGTACCTAATACCTAGACAACTTTTTTTAAATTTTCTTTCACCCAAAACAAAACAACGACTTCCCGTAGCGTGGCGGCTTCGCCGCCACCAAAAAATTTCAACCCATACCTGGCTACGCCTACCGGCATAGACTCCAACGGCCTGGACACAGCTCAAATTGAAATGTCTCAAATAACACATTATATTTTCACCTATAACTTATTTTCTTCTCATTCAAACAGAAATCGTAAACTTGGAAATTATCAGTGATAAAAATCAATATAGTATGGCAATGTTGCAAACTCGAGGACCCTATGTGTCAAGAACTGACAATTTCATGGAATCACTTTATTTTAGGTTTTATGGAAGGAAATGATTAAAAGTTAGGTTAAATCAGTCCAAATATTGCATTTTATTATAATATAAATAAAAATAGCAAATGAAACGTATCCTTCCATATTTAATTTCAGTTAAAATATCATAAAAAGTAAGTTACTTCAATATATTAATGCTAAAATTATGAAATTCGCACCTCAGGATCCTTTACCAGAACCCAATTTTATCTCGAGTAGATCTGCAGGTCTTTTGACGATCTGAGAGGTAGTCATCTCTATATAAATCTCACCTGAAAGGCAGCATGTGGAGGATGAACAATGAGGCTATTAAGGCCTAACTAATTTAAGGGGACACACCTCTTACAGATACAGATTACAAGCAGTAAATAGTAAGCTGTGCTAAAGTCCTACTTTATTCTTAAAACAAATCATTACAAAAAAATATGATAGAAGTACCAATTATCTTATCAATAAACATATCTATTAATTTCTAGATATATTTAAATATTTATTATCCAAAGGCCTATATTTCTTTCTCAGCAAGTAATTGTTATGCTTTAAGCACCAAGAATATTTGACTGCTTCTAAGTCACTCGAAATTCACTTTTATAACCACTAGTTGTTATAGATTTTACTTTAGAGAATTCCGATTTTTTCAAAGTGGTAACATAACGACTGACCTTGGTCTGAGCCACTTGCTAGCTAGCAACTGCATGATACTATAAATATAATTCTTTAACCTAACTTTTTCTAATCAATCACTTTTTTAAATGTAGTGAAATATTGCAAATTCTATATTAAAAACAAAATTATCTCATATAATAAATATTCCCACTTTGCATCATCGAGCAATACTTTCAGATCTATCCTATATGTACCTCTTATTTCCTATCTGTCAAATTTTCAATACTAGGTAGATGAGGAAGACAATATCGTCTATCCCTCGGTACGAACACGAAACGTCTTGAGAAAGGATATTATAGTCTTATTGCAACAAAATTTGCCAAAAAATTAAATGGTAGATATACTATTTATGGGCAAAGGACTTGTTGGGTTTTTAAACAAAATGCTTAGAAATAACAAAGAAAAAATTAACAATTTAAAAATGAACAATTTTGTTTAATATCTTTTAAATACACAGCCAAAACACAAAAATAAACTATTAGTTCAATCTTTGTATCATAATTTTCAGTACCGATTCATAATCCCGAGAAATAATGTACATTATTTCCTCATTAAACTTCTGCTATACAGTAATAAATTTTAAAGCACACTATGGTTTATATGAATCATTGATGAAAAAACATATTTTAACAAAATAGCTATATTACTTTTGGACTCACTGTTTTTGAACTATAACTGTTAAAAATTAATCAGACTCTTATTATAACAGATAACTCATAATATGCACAAAAAAAATGTCATTTTATACATCCGAAAATCCTTGGATCAAGTTGGTTAACTCAAATATCATAAAATGGTAATTCTTTATTCACTTTAACTATACCTTCAGTTTCAAACTTGGCTGAACTGATGTACTCATTATTTTCAGGTATCTGTTTAAAATCTTGTGGTATGAAAATTTCATCAAAAACTTGCTCATTCTTGTGTATATCTGCCCACCTCTTAGGAATTTCTTTATTGATTGATTTTCGGAAGGCCATACAATGTATATGTTTCAATTTTTCATATTTTATCCTCGAAAATCCCATATTAGATATCACAAACCTCCAGGATTTTATATATTTTGCATTGGAGCCTACGTGATTTGAGTCTGGGGTTATTACCAATAGCAATCCTTCAGATTTTAGTAAATTATAAGCCTTTTCACAAGCTACTTTTCTTTGTACTGGAGATGGTAAATATTCTAACAATAAACTAAATACAACTACATCAAAATAATCACCAGGAAGTTGTTGAATTTCATTATTTTGTAGTTGCAATGTTTGACCAAGATCAACTTGTAAAAAATCACATTTGTGTACATCATTTGCAGCAGGAGCAATATCTAAAGCCGTTACTTCAAAAATATTAAACTCCCTAAAAGGATTATAGCAACTCCCAACATCTAATATCTTCAATTTTTTATTAAAATTAGACTTGACAGATATTTCAAGATTTTTATTAATTTTCCTTGCTATTTCTAATTCTTTCTCTCTGATATTAAATATATTTGTAATAAAATAATCTACACAAGCATGGTATACCCAGGTAATTCTTGATATGTCTGAAGAATGATCTCTAGATTTTTCCCAGTATTTTGTTGCTAGTTCTTTCATCGCTAAAGCATACTTCTTCAATTTTTCACTATCTGTGCAATGGTTTTCCCAAGCTCTTTCTATTCCTAGGATTTTAGATTGTTCACGTAGTTGTTCGTGGACTTTTTTAATAAATCCGGATACTTCCAAATGTCCACTTGGGACCATATTTTATTTCGAAGAAATAGAGGACTTCTATACTAATAAAAAAATAGCCTTTTAATGTGACCCGAGACCCGATTTCTTATATGTCATTAGTGTCAATTTTATTTTGTCATGTTGGTTGCACTTTCCTTGTATAGGCATCTGAAAATAAGATCGTAGCGCCATCGTGGCATACATTGGAACCCTCTTCTCTGACATTGGTTTTTTGTTTATGTATTGTTTTTAAATGTGCTTTGGGTTTTAACAATTTTATTTTATCATTTTTATCGTTAATAAGAGAACATTTTATCTGGAAAAGTTATTGCTATTTATTTCATTATTTATTTTATAGGTAAGTGTGCCTTTTCACCACAATCTACCATAAATAAAAAAAATATTTTTAAGGTTATTTTTGATTTTCAAAATTTTTTACTTTTATTTCGTAGTCTAATGTATATTTTGTTATATTTAAGGATTAATTTGCCGAGATGAAATTAAGCATAATCGACTACATGGACTATCTTGGGGGTACAAACACATCTAGATGTGTTTATGAAGGTGAAGAAGTGTTAAATGCTGGACATTTAATTATGTGTGGTAAATTGGACTCTACGAGCCAAGAAAAGAATATAGTTGTGTGTGGTTTATGTTTACAAACTAGTGACTTGAAATCTCATCCTCACGAAATAAAGGGCCAGCTGGAAATTATAAACAAAAAATTAAAAGTGAAAAACATGAATTGTTCTTGCAAGGCTGGAAATAGTGGAAAGTGCAAGCATATTTCTGCTCTTCTAATTAAGTGTACAAGGTGTATGATGTTGCTAATTTAAAAAAGGCGTTATCGTGCCATATCGATTCTTAATAAGATTGAAGTTAGTGCTTATGTTTTCTTTGCATTTTCTGCTGTTGTTTATTTTGTTTTAGGGTTGATTTGGAAACATTAGAGGTCATTTCACAAACTCAAATAAAATGTACATGGTCAAAACAAAAAAGTTTGACTGAAGAAAAGTACCATGCTGTATCAATAAATCAGATGCCTTGTATCAAAAATGTGGATGACAAGGAATTGAAATTGGTAGTTGATGCAGAGAAAATGTACAATTTTTTTATTCAAAAACTACCATCCTCTGCACTTGCAAAGCATAAGTAAGTTTTGTAAATTAAAGAAACGTTTCTTTTTTGATATGTGTATTGTACTTGCCCTTCAATAAATAATAAAAGAAAGCTGAAATTAATAAATTTTAATAATAATATTCCTTTATTTTACATTAATAAATATACAAAAAAATAACTAATTCGCAAATTAATTTTTAGGTTTGGGCGAAGACCAGTTCCTGATCATACCACTCTTTTGACAAATGATTTTAAAGAACATGAACATTCTATTTCCAGCATTTTAAATAATGCTGTTCAGTCACCACTAATGATGGAATTGTATTCTTTTGAAGTTAGTTTTAAATATGACTGTTGTGAACAATTGTATATTAAACTTTTTCAAAACAATGAAGAACCAATAGTTTTATCAATACAGCAGTCAAAAGCATGGTATGATCAGAGAAAATTTCGGGTTACTGGATCACGAGTTTATGGTTTGTATACCTATTCTGGAAACGACTGGGAAAATAAATCCATAAAGTATTTTTATCCCAAGAATTTTACGAATAAATTTATCAAACATGGAATAAAATATGAAGCTGAGGCTAGAGATGTTTTCAAGGAGAAAACTGGCTTCATGGTTACAGAATGTGGGTTAATAATTTCCCATTCTAATCCTTGGCTCGGATACTCCCCTGATGGGATTATAATGGATGAAGATAAACCTGTAGCTTTATTAGAAATTAAATGCTTATACAATGGTAATTCTGTATAGCCATCTATGGATAAATTAACAAAACATTTTTTTTAGGTAGTTCAGCTACAATTAACGAAATACTTCCGAAGGCAGCATTTTTGAATAAAAGTCATGACTCTTTTGAACTGAAAAAAAGACATCAATATTATGGCCAAATACAGTTGGGTATGGCTATGTTAAATGTGCCAAAATGTTATTTTGTAGTTTATGCCTCATTTGACAAATCATTAAAAATATTTGAAATAGATTTTGACCATGAATTTACAAAGGAAATGTTATTTACTGTCAAATATAATTTTTTTCAAAAAATGATACATAATTTGTGTGCTAACATATAAATAAATATTATTTATAAATATTTAGTTAATAAAGTGTATTTTTATAATTTTACTCTTATTAGTTTTTCCCTTCCATTTAAATTTACAAAAAACATCCTAGCCTTATTTTCTGTATATTTAAGTATTACAAATTTTATCAAATATAGAAAAACCAAACTTAAAATCACATTACATAGAGATCACAACTATAAATCAATCAAATTAACCTTAAACTAAGAATTCAAATAGAGATTTAACATTCACTAAAATCTAAAATACACAGGAAATTGTAGTCATAAAATTAAAATCGCATGTAATTACATAGAGAACATAACTATAAATCAAATTAACTTTAAAACTAAATATTTCAAATATAGAATTAACATTTACTAAAATACACAGCAAATTCTAGACATAAAAATACAATCACCTGTACATAGAGATCACAACTATAAATCAAATTAAATAGGAATCCAAATACCAAATTAACATTTACTAAAATCTAAAATACACAGCAAGTTTTAGGCAGATTCCAAGTGTTTTTTACTCCTTAAGATACCGACAATCTGCTAATATAGGACTTGATAAGTTGGTTAAACCACAAGCTATTATAAATATATGATTAATTTTTTTAACCAGAGACCATTGTAGTTTTGAATTTAAAATTTTAAAAATCTTTATTCTTTGATTTGCCCTCTCAATGTGAACACGAGCAGCTGCAATTTTTGAATTTAAAATAGCCTGTTCTGCAGTCAGCTGACTTTGTTTTTTTAAAAATGGAGGTCTAATTAATTTTATTTTAAAGGTTTCACAAATATCATCTATTAGAAATCCTTTATCTACCATAATTGCGTCTTTGTGGCTATCAAGTTTGAGTATGATATCGCTCTGCTCAAAAATGGTTTTGTCAGAAGCTCTTCCTCCATAAGGTTCACTAACATAGGTAATGATACCCCCAGGAGAAACACCAGTCATAAATTTCACAGTTGTATTAGATTTATATTGTGAATAAAACTTAATTCTACAACAAAGGCACTTTGGTTTCTGTATAAATATTTCAGTACAATCGAGAACTAATCTCACATTTTCAAATCCTTTAAAACATATTGGCATATTTTGTTCAACTTCTTTTCCATCTGGAAACTTTATGGCACAGTTTAAAACACTGCTTAAAATTGGAAGCATATCAAAAATGTATTTTTTACAAAGCTCTTGAGACACTGCAAATAAAATTGATAAAGTCACATAAGAAAGGTCACATTTTAATTTTGTCATCAGTAGAATTATACGTTGTCTTATATTTAATCTATGGTACCTCTGATCAGTATAATTCATTTCTACAGCTTCCACAATTGTATCCAAAAGCTGAAAACTGTGAATTCCAGTAAAACTATTAAGAGCACTGTCTGTTGTCAGGAGATCACATAATGTTGAAATTTTTGGGGTATTTACTTGTACCTCAAAATCTCTAAACGTAGTGGGTCCTTCATAATTAGGCTGTTCCTGCAAAAGCAGTAGTAGACCTTCTGCAGCTTCTAAATCTTCATGGGAATGTACAGGCCCAGGTTGTTCTTCTTCACTGCACTCACAGTCTATGGACTCTGAAGTTTTAGTGGCATTTCTCATGTTTAACCTTTTAGTTCTTTGAGAAACTTCAGGTTCGGGTTCTACAACAGTTGGAACAGATGAAATTGGCAAATTTTGTGTGGGAATAGCTGTCCACTTTAATCTTCTTCTGCCTGAAGTATTAACATCTAAAAATAACAAATTATAATTGTAAACATAACCTTAAAGTGACCAATATTTTATTTACCTCTTCGGAAAAAATCGTCATCAGTAAAGTGTTTAGAACAAACTAACATATATTTAGTTACTGGTTTTCCGATTTTTAGCTTTAAAATCCAAGCTTTACGCCTACACATCCAAGTGGGATCACCTAAGGCTGACTCAACTTTCACACGATGTTTTCCGGCCTCCGGGAACAAATGAAAACTCAGGTCTGGGTTTGTTTTCGCCCAAGACGAACACTGAGGTACCGAACAATACGAATTACTCATTTTTTATAAGAAAAAGCACGCCTAAAAACAGATTTAACACAAAAATAAACAATTGCCTATTCAACGAAGCACAGAACAAAAATTGTATGTCATCGAAAAGGATTCCAGATCTGACCACTAGAGGTCGTATTGGTTATTTTGATATGCCTATAGAAGGCGAGTTCGGATGTGGTTCGGATAGTCAGGGGCTGGAGCGGGACAAAAGCGGAGTTTTTTAGAATACTTTTAAATGACATTTAAGCGTGTTAATCTGTCACTAATCGGACTAAACCCACATACTTTTGCTGCGTTTGAGAATCCACATCGGGTGCATCTGAGATGTAAAAAATCTTTGATCACGTGGTTCAGTATACGTAAATGTAATGGGACAGATGTGTCCGATGTGGATAAAAAAACGCTCGAGATGTAAAAAATGCATCCGATGTGGATTCTCAAACGCAGCATTTGATTTTCTTTTACTATACGGAGAATGGTCGCACTGCGCAGCTTTCTGAGTGCCTTTTAAAAGGAGATAGGAAACTCCGCCATTTTGAACCCTTATTACGTGTTGCCTACATCTTGGCGCAATATTTTGAATAGGTGCGTTTTATTCATCCGCTTCTGCTTCGGAATTGTCGGTTTTCTTGTTCTAATCTGACAGGTTAAAACGACTAAACCGACAATTCCGGAAGCAGAAGCGGATGATTAAAACGCACCTGTTATTTTGCTTGCTGCTGTCAGTGTCAGTGAATATTATTTTTGAAGTCACAGTTTATTGCTAAAGAATCAGTTAGCTCACTCGGACCAGTTGAAAGTTCCAAAATAACATCCACTCCAGGGATACAAATTCAGGATACGCAGAAGACTGCTGTTTTATTATAGGCGGTTGTCATATATTGTATTATGCG